GTAGCCCTTCACCCTAGCATGCTACTGACCAAATATCATCTCCCTGGGCAGTTTGGTTATTGAGAAGAAGTTGTTTAAAGTTTTTAACATATTTGACCCCTGTGACCTTGAAAATAGATGAAGGTCATTTATTTGAACAAACTTGGTAGCCCTTCATCCCAGTTTGCTTCTGGCCAAATATCATCACCCTAGGCCTTTCGGTTATTAAGAAGAAGTCGTTTAAAGTAAAATATTGACGCCGGACGACGGACGGACGACGGACGCCGCACCACGGCATAAGCTCACTTGGCACTTCGTGCCAGGTGAGCTAAAAAACCTGTCCTAAAATAGAGAAGGTAATAGGCAACACTGTCCTAAAACAGAGAGGATAAAAGGCAACACCGTCCTAAAACAGGCATGATGAAAATGTCCTACAACAAAATAATTATGAAAGACAAAATCTTGTAACAAAGTGCCAATTGTATACAACACCAATCAGCACTGCAATACAAAGGCCAAAAGTCATAATGATAAATTTCAAAACTTGCATCAACACTATCACCAGTAATGACATGGATGCAGACCAGGGTGAATTCATAACGGCCCCGATATTCTTTGAATATGTGAGCAAATAAAAACAAAGTGACCAGAGACAAAGACAGATGTCTTGTACACATGATTTTATCTACAAACTGAGGCACACGCAGATGTACTGACAAAGCAACTACTATATCACACCAAATCAGTCAGTCGGGGGAGGGTATTTAAATATAAAAGACAAAGAGGCCCAGAGAGTCTGCATCGCTCACCTGTTTCTTTTGTTACATGAAACTGAAACATAGGTAACTTGAGACCAAATTTGGTACCTAGAACACGTTTTAACATCTCTTAAATGGTTCTTAGGATCCAGTTGTTTGAAATTTGAAATTTGAATTTCAAAGATTTTAAACCACGCTGACCTTTGACTTCGGCTAGCACTTAAAGTTGGGCTTTGACCTCATTACTGTAATAAAGACAAGAGGCCCAACGGGCCTGCATCGCTCACCTGGTATAATACTCACACTTGTAACCTTAAAAGTGATCTAAAATGAAGCTACAGGCAAAATATCAGTATTTATGATTAAAATTCATTCAAAAGACCCTGTTAATTTTTTTTGGGAACACTTCACCCCTGTGATTGAAAGTCGAACAAAGTCATTATGTTGAACACATTGTATAGCCTTTCATCTCAGGATGCAACTTGCAAAGTATAAACATCCTGGGACCCATGGTTATTCAGAAGAGGTTGTTTAAAGATTTTAAACAAATTTGACCCCTGTGACCTTGAATATAAGTCAAAGTCATTCACTTTAACAAACAAAGTAGTCCTTGATCCCAGCATATGCTACTGACTAAATATCAACATCCTGAGCCTTTTGGTTATTCAGAACAAGTTGTTGAAATATTTTGAACATATTTGCTCCTTGTGACCTTGAATATGATTCAAGGTCATACATTTATACAAACTTGGTAGCCCTTGATCCTAGTATGCTACTGACTAAATATCAT